TTCTGAAGCTTAGATTAGTTTGCATTTATAAAACTTGCATTTTATAAATGACATTGTGCAATTTGAAAATCTTTTACTTAGTACAGCTATTGTCGGATTCATTCATGTTATGTGTTATCATATTTCATTCCTTTGTATTGCTGAACAGTATTCCATTGTGTGCCAATGTCTCTATTTGCTTACCATACACTTGAGGTACACATTAGTTGTTTTCTGCTTTTATTTATTATAAATAAAGTTGTATAAATAAATACAAGTGTCTAGACATATGCTTTCATTTCTCATAGGAGAATATCTAGGAAAATGGCTCGAAGTTGTATGGTAAGTATATGAGTGACCATTTAAGAAACTGACAAGCTATCTTCCAAAGAAATATTACATTTCCAGAAGGCTGTTAGGAGTTCCACTTGCTCTATATCTTTGTCACCACTTTGTATGGTATATTCAATTTTTTAAAATTTGAGTCATTCTAGTGGATATATAATGGTGTCTCTTCATAAGTTTAATTTTTCTTTGTCTAATGACAAATGATGTTGAGCATCTTTACCTGTGGATATTTGGCATCTGCATATTTATTTTGGTGAAGTTATCTGTTCAAATATTTTGACCATTTTGTTAATTAAGTTCTTTATCTTTTAATTATTGTATTATATGATATATTTATATATGCTACATATAGTACTTTGTGGAACATAAGGTTTGTAAATATTTTCTCTCACTCATATGGCTGCCTTTTTAATTTATTAGCAGTATCCTTTGAAGTACAAGAGTTTTTAATTTTGATAAATACCAGTATATTTCATTTTTAATAGTTTGTGATTTTTGTCATATTTAAGCAATCTTTGTCAAATATGTTGTTCCTAAGATTTACTTGTATGTTTTCCTCTGGGAGCTTTATAATTTTAGGTTGGACATTTAAGTCTGTGATTAATTTTGTGTTTATTTTTGTATATAGTGTGCAGTAGCAGTTGAAGTACTTTTTTTTTTTGTATTGGCTATTCAATTATACCAATTATTGAAATGATTATGGTTTCCTTCATTAATTTGCCTTCTCATCTTGCTAAATATTATCTGCCTGACCACATATGCATGTTCTTTTCCTGGATCCTCTTCCCATCTCATATATCCTTGTAATGATTACAATAAATTTTAATAGGTAAGGTGTAAAATTAAGCAGCATAAATTCTTAAAGTTTGTTCTTTTTCAACGTTGTTTCATTTATTTGAAGTTCTTTACAGTTGCATAGAAACTTTAGAACTAGCTGCTTGTGTGTGTGTGTGTGTGTGTGTGTATGTATATATATATATACATATATATATATACTAGAGTTTTTGCTGGAAAATCATTAAATCTACAGAGTTTTTGCTGCTAGAGTTTTTGCTGGAAAATCATTAAATCTACAGAGATTAATTGGAAAAACTGACATCTTAACAATATTGAATTTTCCAATGCAAGAAAATCATGTATCATTATATGTATTTATGCCTTTTTTATTTCAAAGTACAAAATATTAAGAGAGTGTAAATGTTTTTGTTACATGGATGAATTGTATAATGTTTAAAAAAGTCATCATTTCCAAAGACACCTGCACTTGAATGTTTGTCACAGCACAATTCACAATTGCAAAGGTATGGAATCAACCTAAGTTCCCATCAACTGATGAGTGGATAAATAAAATGTGATATTTATGCCTTTTAAAATTTTTCTCTATGGCGTTTTTTCTGAACTCTCACTCAACTCTATTTAACTCTCAGTATATGTCTTATTCATTTTTGTCAAGTTCATTCCCAAATATTAAATTGTATGTAATGTTATATGTTATTTTTTATTTCAATTTCTAGCTTTTGTTGTTATATAGAAATTGAATGGGGTTTTTTTGTTTATTTTTCTCATGCCTGCTAAATTTATTTATATGTTCTACTGTTTATATAATGTTAGTTATCTTTTTTGTAAAATTTCAGATTCTTATGAGGGTACAAATGCTTTGGTTACATAAATTGCCTTTGTACCACCTGACAAGTGTGCCCATACCCCAGAAAGTGTGCTCCTCATCCAGTAGGTGTGAATTTACCCATCTTCTTCTCCCTATTCCCACGGGCACAACACCTTATGAATGTTACTTCTCATATGTGCACATTAGTGTTGATCAATTAGTACCAATTTAATGGTGATTAATGATGTGGTGCTTGTTCTTCCATTCTTGTGATGCTTCACTTAGTAGAATGGGCTCCATCTCTATCCAGGATAATATAAGAGGTACTAGATCACCATTTTTTTTTGTGGCTGAGTAGAACTCCATGGTATACGTGTGCCACATTTTATTAATCTACTCATGTATTGATGGGCACTTGGGTTGTTTCTACATCTTTGCAACTGTGAATTGTTGCTATAAACATTTGAGAGCAGATGTCTTTTTTATAGTATGTCTTCTTTTCCTTTGGGTAGATACCGAGTAGTGGGATTGCTGGATCAAATCGTAGTTCTACTATTAGTTCTTTGAGGTATCTCCATGCTATTGTCCACAGAGGTTGTACTTGTTTGCAGTCCCACCAGCAGTGTGTGAGTTTTCCTATCTCTCCACCTCCACACCAACATTTGTTGTTTTTGCACTTTTTGATATAAGCCATTCTCACCGGAGTTAAGTGGTATTTCACTGTGGTTTTGATTTGCATTTCCCTGATGATTAGAGATGTTGAGCATTTTCTCATATGTTTGTTGGCCATTAGTCTATCTTCTTTTGAAAAGCTTCTGTTCATGTCTTTTGCCCACTTTTCTATGGGGTTGATTTTTTTCTTGCTAGTGTTTTGAACTTCTTTATAGATTCTAGGTATCAGCCCTTTATTGGACGTATAGCATGCAAATATTTTCTCCCATTCTGTAGGTTGTCTTTCACTCTATTGATTTACTATTATTAATGAACTTGGAAGCTCTAAGGGGCACCCCAGTGAATTTCCTAGGTCCCAGATATAGCATTCTTAACTCCCACTGTGTGGCCAGGACCTAATTTTCCCTTGGTAATAGGGAATAATTACCCCAACCAGTACTATAACCTTCTTGATTCCTGTTAATTGCAGAACATGTATAATCCAAAATGCCTTTGAACAGTCTCAGCTTTCATGATTGTTCCCCCTGGTAAAAGTATTTCTTCTTTGTAAATTAAACCTCCAATACTATTGTATTAGTCTGCTGTTGTTTCAATATGCATGTATAACAGAGAACCCTCAAATTATTCTCACTGATGAATCTTCAGCCTACATGTTGTACCCCAATATGCTCCACAGACATCTCCTTCTGTAGACAGCAGCTAACACTGCACACACTTCTCATACTGGTTGACATAAGACCCACAACTGCAATGGAGATTATTTTGCAGTGAGCTCAGTTAAAACTAACAGACTTGTTGCTTACTAAATAAGCAGATCAGAATTTCAGACATCAAACCTAAATAGGCTCACCATATGCTGTGTCTCTTTCTTTGTGGTGATTAGTGCAAGATGCTGCAAATTATCACTCACGTTAGAGAAACATCCTGACATTCCAAGAGCATTGACCTCCAAAACTTCATTGATGTGGCAAACCTCTAAATTTGCGTTGGTGAGTTTTTCTCTCATCCTCTAAAATGTGTCACACTACTATGGCTTCTAGGGCACATGCTACTTTTAGCCCATAAAATAGAATAATGTCATCAGTATAATGCCCAAATATGATGTTTCGTGGGACACTAAGATGTTCTCATAAATCAGATGATATAATGCAATAGATTTGACCTACCCTTGTTTTTAGATAGTAAAGGCATGTGACTATCTCTGCTAGGTAAGACAAGCATTTTCTGATTGTTGTAAATACTTGGATTTTCTAAAAGAAATTTGCTGAAGCAATAGATACATATGTTAAATGTCAGGGCTATGCCAATTTGACATGTTTTTTGATTATTACTGTCATGTTAGAGGGTAGTCAACTTTTAGGGATTTACTCATCATTTGTCTTGATTCTTCTACCAATATAGCTATCTCACAAAGGTAAGGGAACGAATGCAACTTTACAAATATTTTTAATTTACCTATACTTTTAGTATGATTTCATCTGTCATCTAACCTCCATAATTAACCATACTGATGATTGAATCAGGGTGGTCTTTTGGTTCCATAGGAGTTAATGTTAGTTCAGAGTTATTTAATAACTCCCAGAAGGTTCTAGGTATTTGCATGGTAGCTGTGTACAAATGTCTTTGTATATGGTCACAAGCTCCCCTGGTAATGCCTTGGAGAAAGTTCAAAGTATATACTCAACTCTCCATTGCAGAGTGCTACCCAAATTGACCCAGCAGTAGGGTTTTTTGTATCCAGTTGTACTCATTGAATAGGAGACACACACAAATCAATAAGCACAAGGAAAGAGACATCAGGATAATCTTTCTTTCCTCACCCCTTCTTTGACATCACTCTATGACAGTAATTACATTTATCTCTAACAACAATTTCCATCAGATGGCCCCAATTCTGTGGCTCCAAAAAAGGCTATGCCCTCTCCTTTGTTTTTTCAGTCCCAGGAAAGATAACCATTTCCTGATGTTGCTAGTCTTTGAGCATCTCAACTGCCTCAATTTGTTTAGTTAACTGCGCACAAACTCTATATGATATACATTCATTAATGTCTCTTTGTCAGAGTGAGTTCTGAATACTCCCAATACCAAGTTGATGTTGTAATTGATACCAGGAATGCTCCCATCAATTCATGAGTGGATAAAGAAAATGTGGTGTATATATACCATGCAGTACTACTCAGTCATAAAAAGGGATGGAATAATGTCATTTGCAGCAACTTGAATGTAACTGCAGAACATTATCCTAAGTGAAGTGTCTCAGAATTGAAAAAACAACCTCTGCATATTCTCACTAATAAGTGGGAGTTTAATGATGGGCACACCTGGTCACAAAGTAATATAAAGAACATTGGAAACTATGAAAGGGTGAGTATGGGGCTAAGGGATAAAAACTTACCTATGAGGTACATCCTGATGATGGGCACTGTAAAAACCCTGATTTCAGCCTTATACAATTCATCCATGTAGCAAGAACACTTATATGCCCTAATATTTTGAGACAGAAATTGTTAAAAAATCATTATTTGTCATAGTTCAGGTGCTAACCATGTATACACCTTTATGTTAAAAATGTTTAATCAGTTGTTTGGAAACAATTGCCTTTAATCAGAATGTTACAAATTTTCCAAATAATAAACTTTGACAACAACATATGATATACCTATAATGAATGCTAAGATATTAAGCTATGTGGAGCAGATAGTTAAATTAGTAAGAGTATTTTAAAAGATTGATTCTGTACTGTTTTTTCAGGCAGAGATAGCAGTAGTTTCTTTAAGATAGTGTTATTATAAACATGCAGGAATTAATCATAATTGCTTAGTGAGAAAACATTTGACTTCCTGGAAATGAGATTTTTATATCTGTAAATGGGGGTAATAGCACATGCCCTACATATTTGACAGCATTGTTTTGAAGGCCAAAAGAAATTTAAAAACACAGATGACTTTCAAATACAAGTAGGCTATGTAGAGACAATTTTCAACAATTTTAAATTCATATAAGCACAGGGAAAATGCTTGTTTGAATGGAAATACTACTATTAAATATGTATTTTTTTCTGAAATCACTAACTAGGAGGTTGGGCATGTTTAAATAATAATTAAACTCAGCAAATCAGTTTTTATATTTGACAAAATTAGATGAGATTAATTATCTAATATTCCTCTACAGAGTCACTGCACTGCACTTTGTGAATAAGAGATGCCTAAGTCTTAGTTTATTCAAATATCCTTGTGATAGACAAAATAGACCAAAACACATGAAATAGATTCTAAGTACACTCATAGTCTGATATTTATTAATTGTATCCTTCTGCTATTTTGAAAAAAATCTTAGAAATTTTCTACGTTTAGTTGATAACAACTTTTCTAGTTCACATTAGGTTACAATACTATAAACAAAGATCAGCTCCTCGAAGCAGATGATATTTGAATTATAAGAAAATAAAATCAACAGCAAGTAAACTGGTAGAAAAATATTTAAACATGGGGGAAGGGGTTGTCATTCTTCAAACTGTGTTCTTTATATCTATGGATTCTGTGGACATATCTTAAGGCTATTTCAGGGGTAGAGGGGAAGCCAAAAGACAGAACTCAGGAACTTCTACTCACCTTCAATCTTGGTAGTTTGTTTTTTATTTGTTTAATATATAGAAGATTTTCCCAAAATCTTCTTTGGAGAAAATATGTCTTTTGTGTGTTCCCTTCCCCGCCACCTCACAGAGACTTCCCTCCAATAAAATAAAATAAAATAATAACTGATTTTTTTTTTTGAAAATTGTTGTAGAGGAAAGCATTTCTTTTCTGCAATAGATATTACTGTGTTACATCACAGTTGATTCATGTAATAGTTTCGTTATGTCATTAAGATGAGGTTAAACTATGTTCACATAATTCTCTGTAAGAATGCAACAGAGTTTTAGTGGTAGGCGGAATAATGGCCCCCAAATATGTCCATGTCATAATCATCAGAACCAGAAGCTAAGACTGTTACCTTATATGGCAAAGGGGACCACACAGATGTGATCAAATTAAGTGTCTTGAGATGGGTAGATTATCCTCGACTATCTGGGGGGGGGTGCTATGTAATCATAATATTCTTAAAAGAGGGGCACAGAAGGAGGAGGCATAATGGAAGCAGAGAGTAGAGTGATGTACTTTGAACATGGAGAAAGGGGCCAAAAGCCAAGGAATTCAGGTGACCACTGGAAGCTAGAAAGGACCAGGAGATGGATTTTCCCTTCAGTCTTCAGAAGGAACCATCCCGGCTGACATCTTGACTTTAGCCTAATGAGACTGATTTCAGGTTTGTATTTTTCATAACTGTAAGAGAGTAAATTTGTGTTGTTTAATGCACTAAGCTTGTGGTAATTTGTTGCAGCTGATAGAGGAAACTAATATAGTATATAAGACATTTGGATAACTGTGGTTGTGGTAGCAAATATACATATGCATATAATCATTACAGCTTCCCGTGACAACAGTCTTAATGGGAGTTCTTGTGAAGTTTCTCTAAGTCATTCACACATTCATTTATAAACCAAATGCATATTATATACTGGTTGCTGTTTTAGGCTTTATAGATATACAAATTATTGTTCCATAATATCAGACCTTGAGGGGCTAAGTGTGTGGTAGAAGGAACACATATTTAAGAAGTAATTATGACAGTGTTTTGAATCCTGTAAAAGAAGCATAAAAGAACATTGTGACAACCTAAAGGGAAAAACCTAACATTATCCAGGAAAGGATAGAAAGACTTCATGGAAGAGATGATGCTTAGATTAAGTTATAAAGATCCAGAAGAAAATTTCTAGGGATACTAAGTATAAATAGGACTTTATAGACAGGAAAAAAAAAGATCAAATGCAAAATATACAAACATGAAATATTTTATCCTATTCAAGCAACTCCAAAAAAATTAGAATTGGAGGAATATAGAATGATGCCAAAAACAGTTGCTAGATGCATTAGTGCTGATGAATGCATGCAATGGAATACTACCCACCTATTATCTTTCACAAATGATTTAAAGATATGGAAAACATTCCTATTATGTTATAAGTGAAGATGGGAGATATGACTAATTTGTTTTCAAAATGAAAACCGGATTTTAAAAATAAGCATTGGGTTTACAAAATGAGCACCAATGCTTTTTCCAGTTCTATCCTTATATAATTTTGTTAAATCTAAGTGAACTTTATTCTAGATTTCTAAGTTGGTAGAAATAAAGATTTGAATACATGGTATAAAATATGTGTGTTTGATAAAACAAAAGGTTGTGCTTTCTTTTATTTTTAAAGTATATATTTTTGGTATGACATTGAAAATAAAAAGGTTTTTAAATATTTGCATGTTATCATGTATACAAATATCTAGATGTTTAAAAGGGTCATTGTTGTTTGTTTATTTTTTATTGTATTTTGTTTGCCTTCATTGGTTTTCATTGGGATGAAATTCAGGATTAGATAGCTGTAGTCAAGGTCTTTATTTATTTTGTTCATTCAGGAGGACCTCTTACTTTAGCTCTGATAATTTCACAATTCTCACTCCTTTCTCCACCACTCTTTTAGTGAAATATGAATGCCTATTTTTGCTACTTCTCTTACTCCTCTGATGTGAAGGCCACCTGTCATTGAAAAGAGTTACCATGCTCCAGTGAGGCAGATAAGATGTTTTCAAATATATTCTAAGATTTATTTAATAGGTTTGACCTTTCCAGAAATTGTCCTTATCCATCATTATAGTACATGATCAATCATTTCATACTTCATCATCTATAAAGCAAGCATTAACAACAAGGAAAAGAGTTTACATTCTATTTTTCTCTAGAGATTTATATCAAAACAGTTTGGACAGCTCAGCTAATTAAGAATGAGAAACTCAAAACTGTTGACCAATCTGACTATCCTAAACAGGGTCAGGGTCTTACCTGAACTTTCTTTGAATCTATATTTTACTTTACTTTAGAACTTAGGGACATAAAGAGGTAAACTCAGTCATTTTTCTTTGGTTAAATCCTGTGTCTCTATGAATAAATGTGCCTTGAATTCTGAGTTCCTCATTTATTTTCCTAATATCTTGGTTATTTAAAAATTGGGTAGGATTTTTTATTTTTCAAATATATAAAATAAATAGATACAGGGATCATTAGTGAATTATCTGTGTGCTATGACCAGATGCTGCCAAAAATGTAACTGTTTGAAGATTGACTTTATTACTTTGGCCGTCACTACAGTCTCACTCCACACACTGGATAGACTGTTGGAAGTGTTCTACTTGGTGAGTCTATGTGTTAGATGAATATTCTATTAATACAATGAGTAACTTTTAAGTCTGGTACTTTAACTAAATTGCTTTGGTCAAGTAAATATGAATTTCCAAAGAAAAAAAAATTCCATATTCTCAAAATAGTAAAGATACTTTTTGAGCAAAATCTAGTCTCATCTTTCCAATATAATTTATAGCAATGTCTGTTGGGATAAAAGTTCTTTTTCCTACCAGCCAGTGTATGAGCTCACTAAATACTAGTTGGATTAATAAGTGTAAGAAGAAAATCTATGATATTTTATTATGGTCTCTGCTTTTGTGATTTTAAACTACTAGAAGAACAATAGATCAACATATAGAGAGACAGAAACGACAATGCTGTTTTTAAAAAACAAAAACAGAAAACATACTCAACTCTTTACTGTTTTTTTTTTTTTTAATAAAATCAGTGAGGGAAAATGTTGGAGGATGGAACCACTGTGGAAATAAAAAAAAAAAAAATTGTCTCTGTTCCATCTGAGCTATTAAAGACAAAATATGATGTAAAGGTGTTATTTCTAATATTATTTTAGGAATAATGTGTATGTTTAGCCGTATGAGTCATCAAAATTCAAATACAAGGATAGAAGCAGTCTTTCACTTGATGATATGAATAACCTACATATGGCTCAAAAGTGGGGCAGATCCCAATCTGCTGAACCTCTGATAATAAACTTTTAAAGTTTTTTTCAAATGCCTCATATTTTTTATAAAGAAAATTCATAATTTAGTAATGATCTTTATGATGCTTTCATCAGTCTGTTTATCTAAACTATTCATCCTGAATCTCCATTTGTTCAAATCAATACACTGCAGATTTTTAAGGTCTAGTAAAGATAATGATTTTCTATGCATTATGGCTACTTTGATTGATATCTAGATTATCTCTATAAAATGCCTAAATAATTGCAGGAAAAGTAAAAACAACAGCTACAACCAGAAAAAAAAATTTACTCATCCAGATGTTTCCCTACATGATAACAAATATTTGAAAACATCTGGATGACTAGATCTTTCACTTTCCATATAGAAATGAAATTACACCCATAATTAGACATGTTAATCTGTCTTTAATTGAATGAATTCTGAAATACATTCACTAGACAGTGGAACATCCTAAATGACCTTGAAAACCATTGTTTATTTTTAAAGAAGGCCTTTGTATCTACTCCAAGGTGATTTGATTGACACACTTTTGACTTTTTCTCAGCTTTTAAAATAAACTGTTAGAAAATAACCTCCTGATATCTCCATATTCAGTTCCACACAAGCTAAATATCAGAAATCAACTTTGCTCACAAAACCTACACCAGACTCAGAGAAATAACAAAGAACAAAGACAAAGAATGTGATTGATGCTAAGCTGATGAAACAGCTGTGAAATGTAAGATACCCCATAGAGATACACCTGAATCCATATCAATCATAAGTTTTTTTCTTCTATAATTTGGTTATGTAAAATCAAAATTCCCCTCTTCAGTAGTTTTTCCATTAGCATCCCATTAAACTTGTATGCTGTTAATTAAGAGCGTTGGTTCTTGATATGCTGCGTGGTATAGTTTGAGAGGATTTTGTGTAATTGAAATTTAGGCAAGGAATACTGCTCCAGTTTTAGACAACTAAACTAGTGCTCAAAGAAGGTCAAATAGCCAACTTGACATCTAGTGGCAAGTGGGTCACATTTCTTAAATCTAGACTCAATTCTTCTTTTTCCTAGGCTTTCACTCTAGACACTGTATTGAATGGCCAGAAAAAATGACTGAATATTAAACCATTTAAAAACTGAATACTAATATTAACAAGGAATATCATAATTTATTAAATTACAATAATACAACTCAGAATTCAAAAAATGTGCTCAATGAACAACTAAATTTATGTGCATATATTTGTTATTATTGGATGTGAATATATTAATAAAAGAACAATGGGAAAAAGAAGTTGCCTTATCAAGTGCCTCATGGAATGTGGACAATTGTTCTCTTATACAAACAGTAAACACTGAATAGGTATGCTAAATAACTGTAAATTAGTGGTCTTTAGACAAGGTTTATATCATGAAAAAAAGTAGAAATAATCTACTTAGTTTGTTGAACTTAAAACCTCTCTGAATGTTGTTTTTATTTAATCACTTTTGAAAGTCCCAGGAGGAGATTTCAAAGAACCAAATCTACATATCTTTTCTAAAACTGTTTATCTTGATCTCAAAAAAAAAAAAAATCAAAATATTTTCTACTTATGAATTCAGATTAGTGTTCTCTAGTCCCAAGTTATTACTGCAGACATGAATTATGGTCTGTTTACCTGTCAAACAGGAGGAAGCTTCAGCATAATACAACTAGTTGGTAAAGGGCTAAGATCTAAAGATATCTCTGGAAGGTAAGCACACTGATTAATATCTGAAAAACCTTACAGCTCCCCAAACTAGCACGAACTAGCCACAAGTTCCAGAGGGATAAAAGTCTGGAGGCCAAAAATTTATGTCGGTAGGGAAGAGTAACCAGATCTTAAATTAAATTAGGGGTAAGAGAATCAGGTAGTGAAAGGTTAGACATTAGCAACCCAAACTATCCAAGGGAACTAAAGACAAAAAGAAGATCTAATGAAGATAAATTTTAACAAACATAAACTAATTTTAATTGGCTCATAATAGGTAATAGAAAAATTTAAAAAACTATTGCCACTTCTTTTATGTAAACTTTAAACACTAGCATTTCTTTGTACTTTAGTATTGGTTTGTAGATGGTATTTATAGGTCAAACAGTATGCTTCCAATGACTCCAGAATGACATATTGGTGACTTTGGTTGTTTCAAGTTAATGCCCTCAGAATGACCATTTCAAACCCTGATCACAATGACAAGTATTAACTTGACAGAAGGAATCTTACCTTTTGTTGCTGGGTAGGAGTGGTCTTTTTCAATAAGATTCCTTGTCTCCCCAGAATTTTGGTAGATGGCTAACACAGTTTTGTTGTTATTCAACAAAAGCTTTATTT